CAAGTTTCTGCGGGCGTCCCAAAGGTGGAGCAGGTACTTATCGACGGCGGGGGTGTCTTCCGTTGTCTTTATAGTTTTAAGACACTTGGAATTGGCTGCAAGGAGCTGTTTTGCCCATCTTGTATATCCTCCCGCCCCTGGCACAGAGGGGCTCACCTGTGAGCGGAAGGCTGTCCAATCTGTCAGCTTAGCTTGGCTCCATGTTCGGCGGCCTATGTTGGCGGAGAGTGTGATTCTGAGGAGACAGTGATCACTGCCGAGCATTTCTTTTAAGTTTTCCAATGTTGCGTAGGAAATGTTCTTAGTCGGTGATAGATCTGGGCAAGTATCTCGGTTTACAGAATTCCCAATTCTAGTGGATTTCATCGGATCCGTGAGAAGTGATAGACGAAGAGTGGATATGAGTTCTGCCAATTTCCGTCCCTTGGGGACTTCGCGAGTGTAACCCCAGTGATAGCTGGGGGCATTAGTCACCCAATATCACCAGTGGGTACTTATCTGCTTCCTTAATGGCTTTATAAAACATTTCGTTGAAGACGCATTGCCTAGATTTTGGAGAGCTGTATGCATTTTGAATGTACAAGCTAGGATCTCGTCTTTTATTGGGAAGGACTTTGACCATTGTGTATTCATGCGCCTCTGACAGATCAAGGTCTGACAAGCAGTATACTTCTTGTGTACGAGAACACAGGTGGACGCACTTCCCTAAAAGGAGTTGTAACCAGGCAATTTCGCTTGTAAGCCGGTTTCTTGTAGCGTCACAACTGCAGAGGTAAACTGTTCATTCTGCAGGAAAAGGTTAAGAGTGGCCCTCTTTTTCCTATTTTTAAACCCCCTGCAGTTCCACTGGAAAATATTGAGTTGCTGTTGTTTGGACCTTTTATTATTATGTTTAGAACTGCCTGCCATCATGGATTTATTATTGAGGAGGCGTCATTTTCGCCACTGCAGCCAGCGTGGGAGCCTGGAGAGGCGTGGGGGACTCAGTTTGGTTTGTCAACGGTTGGGCTATGTTGCTCTCCGATTCAGAATTTGCCAGGTTACGATGAACTTACGATGAACAATTTTGTGTCGGGGTTGTTCCGTTGTCTTAATGCTAGTTTTGAGTTGGTCCAATTGGGGTGTGAGCCAATTTTGAATGGTTTGTAGTACACAGGCTATGAGAATTGGCAACACGCTCTGCTTGAGGTCTTGCATAGCCGCTTGGACTGATAGGTTCAGCTGCTGCGGAATAATTTCTTGTACTGCAAGCTTGGTTTGTTCTAGGATCATTTTGCTCTGCTTCTCAAGTTTTGTCTCAAGTCTGCTTAGTCGACCTTCTATGTCGTTCGAAGCACCTACTACAGTTTTAGACACCCTAGTGTTACTCGATACGTCCTGCTCATCGTCCTGCTCATCGTTTGAGCAGTCGGAGGTGTGCCTAGTCACCGGTTCCGACGGTGGTGGAGGAATAGCAGCGTGTGACGCCTTCAGCGCCCGATTTTCGCGTTCCAGAGTTTCAATGCATTTTTTCATGGCTTCCAATTGTTTTAAAATTTCAGGATTGGAGGGGGAGGCAGTGGTAGTGGTGGTGGGAGACTGAGAAGAGACCCCTACCCAATTGCTCTCCTGTTTGGGCGGGTTTGCCAGTGACGGGAAATCCTCGGCGCTGAAAATAGGCGGCCTCGACTTCTGTCCGGCTGGGGCTTTGATCGGCTTGGGCTTGTTATGCATGAGCTTCGCTTTTTCGTCGGTCTTAAGAGGTGTTGAGGGCTCTTCTTGCTTGTTTTTTAGTCCATGTTGCCGCTGTGGTAGAGCGGGCTTCCATGCCTTCCGTAATTTTCCGACGCACTGCGCAGAGCCGGTGAAAAGGTTTTCACCGCATATAAGGCACTCGGGTTGACAGTCGTGCTTCGCTGGGCCCTCCAGAGTGAGTTTCACCTTCGCACCACAGTGAATGCACCGCTGAATGTCCATTGAGCCGCGCATCCGGTCTTTGGCCCACCGTTTCACACCGGTAACATGCTGGGACCGTTTTCTTGTAGTAGCGCACTGGCACGTTTTCACAGCAGTAGTGAATGAATCTTGGAACGTGGCGTCCTTTGAAGGTCACCACTGCAACGTTGGATGTTCTGAGTTTCCGCACATACAAAATTTCGCCGTCGATCCACTCGAGCTTGCGTCGAAGGGATTCAGAAGTTTCAGTGTCTGCGAAGGTCGACGACACCCTTGCAGGTTTCTCCGGCTGATTTCAAATGTCCTTGAAACGGTACCTGGCGGTCCCCGATCGTCAGCGTGATGTCCCCGATGAGCTTCGAGGCCAGGCTTTCCGTTTGAACACCTACAACAACGATGTTTTCGTCCCACACGGGCCACACGGAGATGCCAGCGTTCGTGGTGCTGCCGGTGAAGCGTTGCACTGCGGTGCCAATCCCGCCTGGGCCGAACACAGCGTGCAGATTCATGGTTATTTTTGGTTTAAGTACAATAACCAACTCGTCCGACTGGATTAGAGGCGTGTGTGTTGGCTTCCACGTCGCCGGCTGCCGCGGGTACTCAACGCAAGCTGCGGGTGTTGATCCTGTTTTGCGAGCCTGTGGCTGGGCGGCGGCCGTCGAGCCTCGGGGCTTCATTTTAGCGAGCTTCTCTTGCAGTTGGCGAACCATGATCTGAAGATATTCGTCTTCACCTGGTATGGGGTCTTCCTGTGTTTCTGTCACCTCGATGTCAACCCACTGCATCGTGCTGGGGTCGTAGCCTGTCTTCATGGACGCTGCCATGGCTGGGGAGCCCGGGCGTAAGCCTCGTCAGCGTTGGGCTCAGCCGGGCTCGGGCGTCGCGTGATGTTCGACCAGTCGTAGATTGCCGGAAAATGGGCCTACCTGGATAAAATAGGTATCCAGAGGTTCCTGACGATTTCGCCGAAATGCTTAAACCAGTTTCTGGTGGATATTTGCCAAAAGTCCACAACATTTGTCGATTTCCCACGGAGCCGACGTGACATGCGTCTCAAGCGAGTGGTGTGATCGTGTGGGCCGAGAAAAATAGGTGCGCGTTGCGATCCATGTCTTTATTTTTTTTTCGTCATGGAAATCAGGTGCACGTTACAATCGAGGGCGCGGTAGAATCTATTAAATACGGTAGTCCCTTCCTTGGCTGGAAAGTAACGCTATGAGGTTTCTGGACTGTCATTTCAACAATCAACGTCAACTTAATAGTTAGCTTTAGTGTCCCTTTAATTCGTTATAAATAATATTTCGTTATATCTGGGGTCAATATATCAAGGTTTGAGTGTATCTACACTCTCTTATAATATGCGCGTTCTGTTGTTTTTTTTCCTATTGTCTTTCGAAACAAGAGGCAGCTTCTTTTATCTCGTAAACCACTTTACCTATATCTGAAATTAGCATGAAAATTTAAAGGGCCCTGAAACACTTGTTCAAGGAACCATGGAATGGATTCACCAAAAAAGCTTATTGTCTCGCGAATACGTGGCTGCAAAAATTTTCAGAATCTGTCCAGTACAAACATAATTACAAAGATTTGACGCACGCTGCAGTCACATTCTCTCTTTTCTCGTGCCGACGAAAGCGCTGGAAGCTAAGCAGGGAAGGATAGCATAGGCAAAGACAATACATCATGCGCACATGTTGACCTTGAGCACTTTTTCCTCTTGTTTTTAGAATGAGCCGCTTTTTCAGTGCGATCGCACGTACAGACAAGTCGCGGCCTTTCACGGTGATGTCTTTAACAACTGAGCGCGCCATGTTCAAATCGGCCAATGGCTGATAGAAGGGTTGTTAAGAGTAATTTTTGAGCTTCTTCCATCATTTGTCGAGAGAAGAGAAAATTTTCAGCTGGCTGACAATTTATTGTGAATTCCAGGCCGCGTGCTGCGCTATGATATTTAGCTCGCATGTTCTTGGGAGCCTCTACTACCGATTGGCAGCATTTTTTTACCATTCTCAAGGCACATCAGTATTTTTCACCTCCTGCATTGCTTTCACTGTACTTTGCATTTATTCATTTGCATATTAACTACGGCGTCATCGCTTGGCATAACACCTATCATTGTTTTCTTCATTCCATCTGACATATACAAAATTAAGCCATACGCATCTTAACTTACAGCTCTTCGCGTTCAAATGCCTTTAGCCTGCTTAATGAGCACTAAATTTTATCTGTTAAAATGTTATTTCAGTGTAACATAAGTATATTGTTTTATAAGTTACTTCTTTCCCAGCTCTCCTTGGAATATATTGAATGTAGCTCCCTCAAGTATACTAACCCCACTAGTTTTGCTTCTAGTCATTTGTTGCTATCACTTTTTCTCACTAACTGCGGTAAGAAAACATCTAAATTCTCTACCTTTTGGAATAGTTTGCCAGTTGAAATTAAATCTTTGCCCTCATTTTCACTTTTTAAAACATCAATCAAATCTTTTCTTTTAACTCCTGATTGCTCACATTAGTTATCCTTATTCATTTTATACATTTATTTCTGTTTCCCGAGTAAAATTATCATTCCTTCTTTATTTTTCATTTTTGTGCACATTTTCTACATTTATTCTGTATTACTTCTGTTTGTCGTATTTGACTTTTCATTGCATTGGTTGTTATATTGTTTTTTTGCATTGTGTCTTTGGTTTTATTGTAATATTTTTTTCAACTGTTTTAGCATGTTGCTGGTTGTTTTGCCTTGTACGAGTTTCTTATTACCACCTGCTAATCTTCTGCCAATTGTTTTCAATTCATGTTTGTTGTAGTTTTAACTGAGAGTCCTGTTTTCAGTATTCATACTTGGGGCCCTCATCGGTATACAAATGTTATGTATTTGATGCTTATGTAGTTAATAACACTGAAACTGAAAAAGTGTTGCAGGGACCCTTTAAAGATAAATACGAAGTTCTATCAGATTTGGACACAAAATACAGCAAATATCTCCACAAGCCATGTGGCCCCTTAATGCCGTGCACTGCCTTCAACAGTTGTGGAGTTTGAACTATGCACATTTCTTTCCAGGCACGGCACGAGGGCCGGATGCTGTACTCGTGCACCATCTGCAAACGGCAGTTCCGTCAGAAGAGCGGTCACTGGCGCCACATGAAGGCGAAGCACATACCGGACAAGCCCAAGAAGCGCTATCCTTGCCCCAAGTGTAACAAGGACTTTTCCCGTTCGACGTATATGAAAGCGCACCTGGCCTCCCACGACGAGTCGCAGAGGGGCCGCTTCACGTGTGAGGTCTGCCAGCGGACTTTCCTCCAGAAGTCTGATCTGAGCCGCCACCAGAAGACGCACGACAAGCAGCAGTCGTTCAAGTGCACCACCTGCAAACGAGATTTCTCGAGCCTGGCAAGCCAGAAACGGCATGAGAAAGAACACGACCCAGCAGGGAAGGCGCCCTGCGTCCACTGTAGAGCAACATTCACGCGCTCCTACAAGCTGAAGGAGCACGTTGCGAAATTCCACAGTGGCGCGGTGCTTTTTAAACCACTCTTGCCAAAAGAAAGCTCAAGCCAGACCACAAGTGCACCTAGAATGGAAAGAGAGCTTCTGTCACAACATTGCGACAATAGTGCTGCGCTGCAGAGAACGGACCGTTGCACCACAGACGGTCTGCCGACTCAAGCCAAAGGCGACTCTCTTCTGAGGCAAACGTTGGCAACTCTCGTCGATGTGGCACCCATGAACACTTCAGAGATCTGCAGCAGCTCAGAACTGAATGGAAACCCAGGACAGCTTCAAGGGCATCATTCAAGTAGTGGCACAAGAGCAACTGAGTTTGGTGCTAGCGGTGTACTTACAAGTAATGCGACAGCACAGCCAACAGAGCTAATACTAACAGGTATGGGAAGCTTGGCACCATTGCAAAGTGGTGTTGATGTTCTTGCAGCTATGGAGACAGCAGACCAGGGGGACATCCTTCAGTGTTTGGCTGAGGTACCGCAAATCGAGTTGAATGACTGCAACTTCGGTGCCGCGTCTCGGGCTAACTTTGTGAGCCATTTCGACTTTCTGAGCCGGCCTTGTTACGATTAGCTGTCATGCTTCGTAATAAGTTGAATTTGATGGGCAATGTCATTGCCCATCAAATTCAACTGTGAATGCTGTTCAGTTTTATTCTGACAAAGTGAGCCATATTCGTTGCTTTAATTATTGTATTATTTTACCTGAACGACCAGACTATTCTTTTTATATACATTACACTCGGGCTTAACAGAACCATACTTTAGTTATTTCTCACTGGTGGATGTAAAGCTTACATCACCCTGTCTTTCATTTTCGTTGTCTAATCTACGTTGCAAATGCTTCCTTTAATGAAGCATTTGCCTTTCATTAACAGGCCTTCAAGCATTTGATTCATCTAACTTGGGTTCACACAACAATCGTTATTGCCCATCAAATTCAACTGTGAATGCTGTTTAGTTTTATTCCGACAAAATGAGCCATATTCGTTGCTTTAATTATTGCATTATTTTACCTGGACGACCCGACTATTCTTTTATATACATTACACTCGGGCTTAACGGAATCGTACTTTATTTATTTCTCACTGGTGCATGTAAAGCTTACATCACCCTGTCTTTCATTTTCGTTGTCTGATCTACGTTGCAAATGCTCCTTTTAATGAAACATTTGCCTTTCATTAACAGGCCTTCAAGCATTTGATTCATCTAACTTGGGTTCACACAACAGTCGTCATTGCCCATCAAATTCAACTGTGAATGCTGTTTAGTTTTATTCCGACAAAATGAGCCATATTCGTTGCTTTAATTGTATTATTTTACCTGAACGACCCGACTATTCTTTTTATATACATTACACTCGGGTTTAACAGAATCATACTTTAGTTATTTCTCACTGGTGCATGTAAAGCTTACATCACCCTGTCTTTCATTTTCGTTGTCTAATCTACGTTGCAAATGCTTCCTTTAATGAAGCATTTGCCTTTCATTAACAGGCCTTCAAGCATTTGATTGATCTAACTTGGGTTCACACAACAGTACCTGTGAACGTTGAAATAGTTTGTATTCCTTGATTCTAGTCAAGAAGTTGTCAGGCATCTAGAGCTACAAGCAAAACTGAAATAGAAAAATCTGCGTGTGCAGTGCGATGTCACCTAGATGGTGGCTCTTATGTTCCTCTCATTGTACTTTACACATTGTTGCTAGCTTGGTGCCTTGTTGGTGTATTTCGTAGCAATGCCTTTTCCGGTGATAGTTTGTATTCCTTGATTCTAGTCAAGAAGTTGTCAGGCATCTAGAGCTACAAGCAAAACTGAAATAGAAAAATCTGCGTGTGCAGTGCGATGTCACCTAGATGGTGGCTCTTATGTTCCTCTCATTGTACTTTACACATTGTTGCTAGCTTGGTGCCTTGTTGGTGTATTTCGTAGCAATGCCTTTTCCGGTGCAGTGCACGGTGTTGATGGAAAGTTAGTCTTCTGTATAAGTTATGCTAAGAACAGCATATTTTTAACCATATCACAAAACATTGTACAATGGTATTTTAATAAATATTGATCATTAAGTTTGTACTCTGTGCACTTTGTCACTTTTTTTATTGTTTTCATTTTATTTGTACTTTGCAAACGGTAAGTTATGCGAAGAGATGTCTTTGTAAATGAAGATATGACATTAGAAGAGCAGGCTTTTGAGTGCTCTCGAAGAGTCGCAAAGTGAAGACTTTAGATATGCCTGCTTGTGCCGAGTAGACGGCAATCACTGTGTTAAAATAGTCTCTTCTGTGCAACGTCGCATGATCAAGAGCAACTATAAACTGCAAGGAAATTTTTCTGATGTTAAATCGGTAATGGATAGTTTGTACACATTACTGGAGAATTTTTTTTCCGAGCACTCTTATAAGCGATAACACAGTGTTTCTAGAATAACCTCAGTGCCAAAGCTCCGAATCTCCACCAGCGAAGGAGAGTGGGCCAAACGGTGGTCACGAGAACTAGCAGCGCTGTAGTCGGATTTTGCGCTACTTGGCGCATCTTCTGCTAGAACGGCAGACCACCAGGTGGCTTTTTTGTTGTACTATTACCAAACTTGACCATTCATCTTGCTTCCAGTCCACATTCTCCCGTCACATTTGTGGACTGCTTATGTGGATACACACAAGGTCGCCTGTATAGATTGGCCCGGATGTGTTGCCCATTACAAGTTGACTGAGAATCGATGTTTAGCCTATAGGAGGGTTGCACAGGGGCGTGGCCCACGAGGTGGCGCCAGCGTTGAAGAGGCAGCGCATCCATCTTTGTGGTCTCCCTCCCTGCCGCCGCGGGCAAGCAGTCGCAGAACGTACACTAGTACGAGGTACACTCACGGCTGCACGCCTGTGCAAGATTCCTGTGCTCATAATGGTGGTCTATGCCTTATTTGGTTGCTACAATCACTCGAGTGAGAAGGCTGGTCATAAGAATGCGTCTGATGTCGGCTTTTTTTTCTTCCATACCTAGAATGATCGTAAACCAATCGAAAAGGTTTGGATGGTTCAGCCACACACTATACCACGTGTGCGTTAAACATTTCATTTCCGATAAGTGTTCAGAACCTATGCAACATCTTAGAGGTTCGCGTTTATGGTGGAAAACTTGGGTTTTCGCGACGTGCTATGGAGCTTTGTTTACGGAGCAGGAGACGAGCGTGCGCACTACGACCGCGATCGCTGCTTATCAGCGGTATCATTCAGGTAGGTGCTACGTGTTACTGATTTATCTGTGTTAGTAAACAGTCAGCTATGCAGTGCGTTCTCGTTTACCCATGCTTTAAAGAGCTGAGCACATTAACGTCGATCAGTTACAATCGAGACTATGTGATTTCTGGGTGCAAAACTGCCCGACGCGCGTCATTGGACCCTGCAGCAAAGAGCATTTTTGATCGCAAGCGGCTTGGGCTCAACCATGAACAAACTATGACAATTGTATCACCTCACTTGCTCTTGCAAATGGTGAAGCCCTTCCACACAAAGAATTCGGGAAACGACACCACCGCGGAGAAAAAAAAAAAGAATTATTCGTCCGAGCACTAAGCAAGGAAAAGCAGTTACGTTTCCGACGACGACGCGGCGGCTGTCTCCGAGGTCTCTAATTCGATGCTGTTGGACCCATCCGCTAGTGACATAGTTTTGGGCGTCCATCAATTTACAGGCTTTAAGCTCGTCCCTTGTTGCAAAGCTTGTGCCGCCAACAAGGTGGTCCTTAATGTCCGTGAGCTTGATGCGGGAATAACACTTCAAATCCCACACAGCTTCATCGCTGCTGAAGTCAAGCGGGTCGATATCCGCCGCAACTGTGAACCTTATGTTCATAGCGAAGTTTCGCCGGACTTCGGAAGTCACGCGCGTAAGCACTCAGTCGAATTTCACCACGTTGGTAACGTACGTAGCGGCACGCACACAACCTCTCACTGCTGCTCGCCGCTTCAAAAAGGGCGCGCTTAGACCATCGACATGGCGGTAGAGGCAAACGCCGCTAGCGCCTCAAGCGGATGACGTCATGTGCAACCCTCCTATATTTGAGCTGTCGGCATTGTGTTTAACCTTAAAGTACGAGAGGTTCTACATGATTGAGCATTTTCAGCATATTTTTTATGACGACTGCTATCATTTTAACCAGAGCCGTCTTGCCTAGACAAAAGACTGCCCAAAAAGTCTGTAAAATCCTCAAAGAGGTTGCCTTGCTGGAATACAAAAATGCTATTAAAAAAAAAAAGAGTACTCATGTTTTCTACAAGTTACAAAAAAGACGTTCTCGAAAAAAATGAATCCATAGTTTACACTGTGCACCAGACAAGTCTTCACAATGGCTATTAATCGAGAGCAGAGTGGGAAATGTTACAGCAACTTTTCCACATGTTTAGAACGCTCCCGATTGGTCCTCTTGCGTAAAGAGAAAGAAAGGAGATCCTAATCACAATATGAAACATTACTACTCTAGGCGTGACATTCTAATTATGAGTGGTATAACCCAAAATGCAGTGGCAATTGCTCCAACTTTTCTAGCACAATCCAAAAGAGGCTACCAAACATGGGATTTTCGTGAAATGCCTCTAGGCGGCTTTCTCGATTGTTTTTAATGTAGAAAGAAGGCCGCGTTAGGAATTATGTAAGCAGCCTTCTTGAAAACGCCTCATCTGAGTGAGTGCACTTTCGTGTGGTTTGGGCGTAGCTGTCCCAGGGAAACTTGTGAGAGGTGCTAGACATTCTTAACACGTTGTCACTCATTTAATTTTACTGCAAACGTACCCGTCGATGTAGTACACTCGCATTGTGTTACTGGTAGGCTACGCAGCTCCGGGAACAAGTGACACTGACAAGTGCAACACCCTGTTAGTTGCTAAAAGGTTGAGAACATGGCGATCGAAAAAAACTGTGTTGCTGTAATATAAAGCAAATGTAAAAAAAAAACATGGTCACTGGTAAAAGATGACCACATATATACGATCGTGTTGGTTCATAAGCAAAAATATCCACTGCTTCGAAGGCAGCACAGCAGTTGACAATTTATCGAATGTCTCTTTGATGTGACTTTTCAAGTATCAACAGTGTTGTTCTATTTTAGACAGCTTCTACAAAGTGCAAACTGGGCATTCGAGTGGTACCATGCATTTTGGGGGGGATAGCACCTTGGTCATGAACATTTTAGCTTCTATATATGGATTGGAATTGCTGGGAACAAGCGCAGAAGGGTATCTGGCGCGAGCTCCCACTTTACATGTGAGATCAAGACTTCTTGTTCAGAAAAACATGACGGTAGTGCGTTATCATGTCGTCATTCTGAAATTCAATGTCGTAGACCTTGTGCTTGGTAGTGAGTTTTCTTTCTTAGCAATGGGAAGCTTGCTCCCACCTTTTGAATTGCATCGGGTTTCTTTTTAGAGGTTTGTCACGGTAACCATAATTGGTTTTTACCCCAATCAAGAACAAATTGCAAATGTTGAATAACGTACTGTTAAATTTCAAATGCTTTACTTCACTGTGCCAAATTTAAAAACTTGGCTTTAGTGTGTGCCTTAATCATGCCCTCAAATTGCGTTGTTGGATAAACGACTCTCTTTACCTATACCTATATTTAGAATATTTGTGCACTGTATTTAAACAGCTCGTTTTGCAGTGTCGGCGTCTTCGGCTGCGAGCGAGAAAATGTCATCTTGTCCGTGACAAAAAGAAACTCAAGAAACCTGTCAATTGAAGAAAGAACTTCAATATGAGTACAAATCGAACCGAGGCTCTCTGCGTGGCAATCAAGTGTTCTACCACAGAACCATGCCAATGATCGAAACTTATTCGAACAAAAAAAAAAAAAGAATTTCATGTAGTGGAAGTTCTCACTGATATTGTGTCTAACCAAAAAAGCGAGGCCTTATGTTTACAGTTCTTTCTTTCAAGTAGTAAAAAGAATACGCATGTAATATACATATTACAATATGCACGTAATATTACATGGCAAAAGCGTAGAATTGTGCCAGGTGTCGAAACATGTGAAATGCACAACGATCAAGTGGGTGTTTTTTAAAGACTGTCCCATTACAGAGCGCTCGAACATGTTTGCGTGTTGCCTTACGCATGCATAGAAGACCCTTCGCGGATTGCCATAGTAGTGAGCACTTCACAACCAAACTTTCAATAGACACTCTACGATAGTTTCAAAAGCCCAGTATCGCACACACAGTCGTGTGTTCTCTCACAGCACAATTGAGGCATACACTGGGACCAAAGGTAGGTTGGTAACTGAGAAAGTGATTCGCACAGGGCCCGGTAACGTTATCGTGGTCTACTCTTGAAGGCGAAGCTCAAGCATCGTCCAAATTTTGGAATTGCTGGGTTTATAACTGTAGTGTAATTGTTACACATAATATATACATAATACTCAAAGGCATCACCTCTGTCATATCCCCCATTTGCTGCCACTTGTAGTGATAATTATAATAATGGAATGAAAATTTTCATTTGCACAATATGAACTCTGGTAGCGTGCTAGGCTAGAGAGAAAATTTAAAATTTTTTACGATTGTCCGTCTACCATGTTTACAACGAAAAAAATTAATGAATAAACAAATAAATGAGTCCTCAACATTGCTGTCGCCGTTATTGGCGCCCGGCGCAAAAAGAATCGGCTCTTCCTTGCTATCCTTCATAGGCGACAAATGTGTTTTCGTACAAGAAACTACGCCGTGTCAAGAACAGCCCGAGAAGTGACGTGTGAATACTGCACACCATTCACAGTAACGACTTACCATTGTCACCGCCAATCACAACACGCACGCCGCAGGCCATGTGTTTCCGTCATAGTTTCTTAACATTAACTAGAGGGGACACTGGCGCTGCAATCGTTCAGTGGCCATGGGAATTCTGGGTATGACATGGATTTGCCTATTCTTCTTGCTTGCCGGGGGCGAATGCACTTGTGGCTTCGTTTATTACCGCGTTTCGGTTTTGTTTTGAAAGAAAGAACAAACTGTTTTTCACTTTGTGACCCTATTTGAAGTAGTAAGCCTAAAAGATCAAGGTGGTGAAGTGTAACTGCCGAAAATT